GTAGGTAGGTAGGTAGGTGGGTGGGCAGGTAGGTCGGTAGGTGGGTAAGTAGGGAGGTAGGGAGGTAGGTAAGTAGGCAGGATTAGGCAGGCAGGCTTTTTGATGCAAGCACCGTCGCTTTGTCCCAGAGTCCTAGAGTTTGTTTCGAGGCGAGGATGGATAACCATGTTGGGACCCAGGGGCTGCCTGCTGTTGCATCCAGTCGAACTTTATCCGGGGGTGTTGCAAGACTGTTTCTGGCGAGGTCTTTGGTCGGCTGACAACATTCGCTGATGGCTGGACAGGCATTTGGGCCTTCTGTGCCGGATCTACGTACTCTTGTTTGCCCCATGGTCTAAGCACAACTGCTGTCTTGTTAACAAGGCCTGCGGAGACGTGTGTCTGCACAGGTCAGGACCTGCGATGCTGTCCTAAATCAAACCAACGCAGCCTTAAAATCTTAAAAGCACTACCACTTTTGTAGATAAATAATGAACCCAGGCTGAGTTGCGGCGTGGCTCGCGGTCGCCGCGTTCCTCAGGGTTGGCCCAGGAGTTGCGACCTGGTCATGGAGACCACCACAGGGCAGGAATGTCCGAATACCTGAAAGCTACAATGCTAAGCTTGGGATCGGCATTAAGCAGATCTGTGCGCCCACCAGCTTATTACCAGACACAAAGCTCAACTGAAACTCATGCACGAAGAATTGACCACGACTGCGACATGCTGCGACTGCAGCAGCTGTGACAAAGCTTCTGAGGCTGCAGTTCCTGTGTCTGTTTCATTGACTCAGCACGCGCTGTCTATCTATCTGGACCTTTGAAAGGCGGGGTTCTCAAATCTGCGAACTCAGGAGCAGAAATGTGGATGAGCGGGGGAAACTCCACTTCCAGATGGTCCAATGATCTCCAGGCGTCACCAGTAGGAGCTACGTCCATGAAGGCCTCTCCGGCGCAAGAATGCTCACGAAATTCGCAAGGGCTCCTGTTCCCTACGTGCAGGCAAGTATGATAGGACGCTGGCACATTATCTTTGCAGCGACTTCCAAGTTATAAAACTCATACTAGCAACTATTTATCCGAAGCAGGGCGGGGCCAAGCGTCTATATCCTGAGCCCTGGTGGGCTGAAATGCTGCCAACATCACAAGCATTGGCTTGACGCTCCACAACGCAATGGCTGAAGTGACACCTGCTTTTGCACATCTCCAATTCTGCCAAGCGTCCACCTCGCCACTCACCAGCTTCATCCGTAGCCTGAGCTCTGCGACTGCTTCTTTGCTTCGCCCTCCATTTGGAAACTGCCACGAAGGGCCCCTGCCTTCTCTGCAACCCCGCATCCAAGCAACTGGACAAAATCCAATCCCTGTTCCCTTGGGTAAAAAGTAGGCTTTGATCTCCTTGCCTCATCTTCACCGGTGTCAAGTTCAGCAAGGCGTAGCGCACTGGAGTTGGTCCAGGGTTCTCGGGCATGGGAACCAAAGAGTCCGCCAAACCTTGGATCCGGGTTTCAGGGGTTTCGGTGCTCACACCGGATCTAGGTTTAGGGATTCATAAGGGACTGTGAGACTTTGTGCAGCGATTCAGAGAGCGAGACTTAAACTTATAAGATTAATTCTTCTCGAGTGTTTGCGGGTCCTGCCGGCTACTGTACTTTTGTCGGCTACTCTGCATCTCTGGGTGGCATGGAAACCGTCCCTCTTAAGTCTGCCATTTAGCACTCTGTACACTGTACATCCTTGATGGGCATGCACGAAGCATCAACATCAGCGCTTGCGCCGGCATCGTCATTGCAGCATGGTGGTGAAGCAGATGCAGCAGTTCTTACCCGTTGCGACAATACGGTGCCTGTTGAATTGTTGTGTTGCCGTCGCTGATGCCGTTTACGCTACTGTTGCTGGGTGGGGGTGGTAGTGGTGGTGGTGGTGGTGGCGGTCGTGGTGGTGCTGG